TGTGTTACAGGCAAATTTGATGCTAGTTTCAAATTGATGATATTATGTAATGAAGGGTAGAAATCATTATTCACAAAATAGGTCAGAGGTGTGAGTTTTCTGTCTCCTAGGCTGGAAGGGGAGTAAAAGTTAATGCTAGTTTAATGTTTACGGTTAAGAGATAACTTATTACTTCTGAGAATCTTCTCATACTAAGGAGGGAGGGGATGTAGGGAACATAAATCTAACAGTGTGTACGTAACAACATTTTTGTAGCTTTCACTTGCACATTAGTATAGACCTCTCAGTGTTGCACAGTTCTCAGTTCTGCATAATCTCAGCAGATGTGACAGTGGCAAAATCAGTCAGCCAATGTATCCAACAGGCCGGGAGTGTCCATTAGGCCACACTGACTTAATTTTATGGACGACATCCACGCGCGCATTGATTTTCGCCTGTTGCCCTCAGACAAAAAAAAAAAGATCACCTCTACCGAGGCTCTGGCCCGGCTCTAGTCCTGGGTAGTCCATGGTAGTCGGGCACCCAGGCTATCGAATTCGAAGCTCCATGACTCAAGAACTCAATACATAAGTACAGTACCGATTCATAAATGCCGCAAAAATCCAGCATGTGCCGGCTTGAAGTATACATCGCTAAGTCCTGTCACAAATTCACAATACCAGCTTTGTATTCCTGTGGTTTAGTAGCATTTTTATTTTTGGCCGGAATTTTTTTTTATTCGCCGGTACGCACTAATTTGGAGGTCTTCAGAGGATGTCATCTATAAAATTAAATCGGTGTGGCCTTAGCCAGGAGACTTTGCCACTGTGACACCTGCTTGGAGATGTAATCCTGCATGGTTCTGACATGTGCATGCTCCAACTGTCCTGCTTTCTGTTACACCTGCACTTAGTCTGACTAGAGGACTGGTGTGCATCGTGTTACATGTACATCTCTCTCTGCACTAAAGGACAGGTGTGCAGTATCCTCATTGCAGAGAGGAAATTGTAGGCAACACAGATTTTTTTAATCCTAGTGTCAGTAGTGTGCACACGCAGCCCTGGAAAGTTTACTTTCCTCGTAAGATAATAAGGTAATATGGCAATACGTAGATTCTGGTATTGCAGCAGTAAGCAATGAGGATGAAGGCACCTGTCCTGTGACTGTACTGCTGACATGGTTTCCCTTAACCTGTGCTAACATGCCTGAGTTCTGTAATGTGAATGAGCAATGCACTTCTCTCTCCCCCCATCTGCTTGTACATGTGTGGGGCTGACCAAAGGTGGACTCGCCGGTGGATGCCTGATAGTCCCAGGTGATGGCATGTTTTTCATCACCATTTGTTCCCTGATATCAAGACTTAGTGTGTAAAATACAAAACACAACCCCACAGTTGAAGCCAAAGCTGACAGGAATTCATGGCTGCTTCACAGGCAATGAAATGTTTATCATCACCTTTTGTTTTCATTTTTTTGGTTTTTACAAAAAAAAAAAACACAAAAAACATTAACACAACTCCAAAGTTAAAGCTGTGGCTGATTTAATACCAAATAGTCGAAGGCGATGACATTTTCTTCACCAGCTTTTACTCTGTAGTTTATAAAACACAAAGCACCCCTGACCACAAAACAATGTTACAGCCAAACACAAAAAGATGTATAGTGTCTGATGTGACAGATCTGTTGATATGGGTGGATGGGTTCACCCTCAGCCATTCCTGTATTACCTGTACATGTTGTCTGTTCTGCACCTTTCTGCACTTTTCTATCACTGCTCTGCACCAGCTAGACCTGCACCTGCACTCTTCTCTAGCTCCTTTTTCTGAAATGTTTTTGTAGCCACATTTAGCTTTTAAAAAAAACAGGCCCTGATACAGATTAGAGATTAGACACATGAATGGTGCTGTTTTTGCCAGCATAGATTGGGTTGAGTGCATGATTTATCAAGCACTTCTGAGTTAAAAGAAAAATGCTAAGGATTTTATTTCAAGTTTCAAAAGAATGGCCTTCACTTGTCTTTCTCAAATTTTCTGTAAACTGCACAAATTTGAGATGTCAAAAATTATAATATATTATGTCTCTCCAGACATTGGAAGTAAGAAACATTCTAAGTCAATATTCACCAATCAGTGACTGTTTTGAAAGGTAGCAAAAAATACCTCCAAACACGTACCTCCAAGTTCTTGATGTCAAATCTATACTTTGATCGCGAGAACACAAGACTAGATCTTCAGGAATGAATTTTAATAAGAATTGGGAGCTGCCTAAGTCCTACTTTAACCCCTGCTCTGTAAGAAGGCGGGGAGGCCAGAAGATCTACTGTCAATCTAGCCTCGTGTTCTCACGTGATCATGTGCAGTGTACGTCAAAAAAATTTGGAGGAACGTGTTTGCTATCTTTCAAAACAGTCACTGATAGATGAACATTCTACTAACTGTTAATCGATACGTGACTGATGAACCTTTTCAACAATTAAGAAATGTTCTAACATGTTTTTAAACCCTGCAGTGTTGGGATTCCGCAGAGCATCACTGACAGCCCGCTGAAGATGAAGAAAGCGGCCAGGAGGGGTCTGGGCAGCTTCCGCAGGAAGGACAAGCCTCAGATCTACTCTCCAGACAGGTCTTCTCTAATCATTGACGATGAGGGAACTATTGACATGGTGGAGGACTCTGAGCTGTTTACTACAGGCGGAGACTCCACAGAACAGGTAAACAAACAAACAAACAGGTAAACACTCTTCTTACACAAACAAACAAACAAAAATAGACAGGTCTTCTCTTATCATTGACGATGAGGGAACTATTGACATGGTGGAGGACTCGGAGCTGTTTACTACAGGCGGAGACTCAACAGAACAGGTAAACAAACAAACAAACAAACAGGTTAACACTCTTCTTACACAAACAAACAAACAAAAATAGACAGGTCTTCTCTTATCATTGACGATGAGGGAACTATTGACATGGTGGAGGACTCTGAGCTGTTTACTACAGGCGGAGACTCCACAGAACAGGTAAACAAACAAACAAACAGGTAAACACTCTTCTTACACAAACAAACAAACAAACAAACAAACAAAAGAAATTGTCCTCATCATCACCAACAAGGTACCATCAACATGTCTGCAAATGCAATTGACAAAAACATTGCAAGTATTTAAAAGCTTTTAATTTGATGTGTCCTAGACTGATTTTTAACATTTCCTGCTTTAAGTTGTCTTTTGGACGCAATAAAAAGCAACACTTTGTTGTCCTGTTGGTGGTTAGGGAAAGGACGGTCTGCTCAGCACGACCTATGACATCCCCAGGAAGGCGAACATCCCGTCTGACAACCAGCCACACAAGGTGCAGATCGCCATGATCGACTTTAACCCCACCTTCGAGCACGAGACGGCGCCAAAACGCTCCCCACACGCCTTCCTCCGCGCGACAGTCAAGAACGACTCGGAGTACGCCCTTCTAGCCGGCCCGGTCAACGTGTATCTCGACAACAACTTCATCGCCAAGGTAGATCTCAATTCTTCTTCACAGCACAGAATAACATGTTGAATTATGTAGCAAGTGGCAGGACAGGGGCTGGTCACTACGTGTTTTCGTAAAAATCACTCCGAGTACGCCCTTCTAGCCAGCCCGGTCAACGTGTATCTCGACAACAACTTCATCGCCATGGTAACTGGTGCTGTGGCATGGTATCGGGTTACATTATGTAGCAAGTGGCAGTGCAGGGGCTGGTTACCACACACATATATATATGAATGTGTTTTGGTAAGAACAACTTGGATTACACATTTCTGGCCTGTCAACATGTATCTCCACAACAACTCTATCTGCTGTAGCAGACACCCTGTGGTGTTGGGTTACATTATGTAGCAAGTGGCAGGATGGGGGCTGGGCACCATATTTATGAATGGGTTTGAGCAAGAATAAACAGAGCAGTAGTTTGTTAGGCTAGACCATGTGAAGGTAAATATGATGTGTTTTTTTTGGTTTGTACTTTGCAAATGTTACCTTTCTAGTTCCTGATTTTTTCACTGTACTTTTATGTCCACTGTTTTCACAGTCACTTCTGTACCTTGAACGTATCATACTATTATTAGATCAGTTGTATAATGAGATTCTGCATGTGTACAACATATACATTTTATACCTACCATTAATTATAATTTCTGACCAGAATTCCTTCGTTCCTTTCCTTCCACCTCCTGTCTCTTCCACCTCCTGTCTCCTGCCCTGCCCACAGTTTAAGGTGAATATTTTCTCTCTTTCTTTTCTTTCAGTATCCCTTTATATTCATTTCTTGGAGCATTTTGTTCAACCAGACCCATTTCAGAATATATTCTCTTATTATTTCGCAAAATGATTTTAAAAAATGTATTTCTGTTCCTAACAACTTCATAAAATGGCGTGTTTAGGTCAAGTCGACATTTACTTTAATGTTATAATTTTTGTGGGGTCGTGTGGCGCAGTCGGTAGCGCGTTCGGCTCACACCCTAGAGGTCGCGGGTTCGAACCCTGCCCATATCACCGATCTTGTGCCCTTGGGAAAGGCACTTTACACGACTTTCCTCACTTCACTCAGGTGTAAATGAGTACCTAGCTTCGGCTAGGGACGTCCCTCGGATAGGACGTTAAATGGAGGTCCCGTGTTTGGGAGAGCCACACCCCACGCACGTTAAAGAACCCGCCGCGCTTATCGAAAAGAGTAGGGGACCTTCCCGGTGTGAGTGGTTCAAACCTTACAGTCTGGTCTCAGGGTTGACATCTTTGAAGAGGTGATAGTCACCTGTTATGTCAATCCTTCCACAAATGTGGTAAATCGTCAATAAAAAATAAAAAAAAAAAAATAAAAAATAATTATACTTTTCTTTGATATGATATTTGATTGCTTGCTTCAGAGTTGAGACATTTTGTCCATACTATTTGTCCACTTGGAAACAGTGTGTTCCATTTGCAAAACAATAGTTATTTGTTTCTGTATATTACATTGTAGGGCTGGAAATACTGGGTGCATGTGCACCTTGGTGCACCCAAAATTGGAGCTGTGCACCCAACTTTTGTAGGTTTACATAAACGATATAAGATGAATACTGGAACACAGCATATTCTTGACATCTAAGTGTCAGAAAAGTAATAAAATTTTTGTTGATTAAGATTATTTCAAATGGTGCATCCATTTTTTTAGCTGGGTGCACCAGTGCCACTATTCCCCAAAATGAATTTCTAGCCCTGCATTGTATATAACACTCCTGTATACACAGTAGGACGTAACCATAAACTAGAGAATCAACCTCAGTTGTTATCAGAACATACCGATAATAATCTCTGAGCTTTCCATGTAATAATGAAGTATCCAAATTATCATGCAAGTCTAGTCCATCTGTGTTGGTATTAGTCACTGTGAGTAAAAAAGATTTGATCTCTGTGTAATCCTTGTGTTGGAATAAGGTTCAACAGTTTACAATGATGTATCCATTTGTCCTTGGAGAGATGCTATCATGTTATATATCCTCGCCCACACGTGCCTTCACGTGCCCTACACAAAGCTTGATGAATGAGGGGAAAATGCAGGAAACCATCAGAAAATCTCCTTTTCCAAACAGGCACGACTCTGCGTGTTGTTTTGTTGGAACCTGGAGCTGTACTGATGCTATCTAGGGCTAACCAAGTTAGTTCTTCGGCTCTTGGACATTTAAAAATAAAAATTCAGCCAGATGAAAACAGGGGACGAGGAGGAAAACTTTTGTAACACCTGACAATATTCATTCCCTGAAACTGTGTGTGACAAAATAGTACAGACATCCCCCTTAGACTCCCCACATTGAGAATGTCTTTAAGTTAGTTCTGCCACAGTCAGGATTTCTTAAAGTTAGTAAGTGTCTTCTCCCATCTCCTTAACAATGTCTTAGTTCCTCCCATGTCCTTGAGGAAGTCTTAGTTCCATCTCCTTGAGAATGTCTTGAAGTTAGTTTCTTCTCTCATCTTCGAATTCTTGAGAATGTCTATGTTCCTTCTCCCATGTCGTTTAGAAAGTCTAAGTTCCTTCTCCCATCTCCTTAACAATGTCTTAGTTCCTTCTCCCATCTCCTTAACAATGTCTTAGTTCCTTCTCCCATCTCCTTGAGAAAGTCTTTAGTTCCTTCTCCCATCTCCTTAACAATGTCTTAGTTCCTTCTCCCATCTCCTTGAGAAAGTCTAAGTTCCTTCTCCCATCTCCTTAACAATGTCTTAGTTCCTTCTCCCATCTCCTTGAGAAAGTCTTTAGTTCCTTCTCCCATCTTCTTAGGAATGTCTTAGTTCTGCCACCTTCAGAATATGTTTCCATTCTCTCAACTCCTCTCCTTGAGAATTTCTTATTTCTTCTCCCACCTCCTTGACAATGTCTTACTTCGTTCTCCCACCTCCTTGACAATGTCTTAAGATGTTCCTTCTCCCTGCTGCAGTCTGACCTTCGCACGGTGGCGCCCTCAGAGGAGTTCACGTGTTCTCTTGGCGCCGACCCCGCCGTGAAGGTCATCTACAAGCCGCTGCACAAGTACCGGGAGCAGAGCGGGGTCATCTCCAAAACCACCCAGATGACCTACAGACAGGTGAGGCTGCAGTATGTAGCAAGTGGCAGGACGGGGGCTGGGCTCCTTGTATATGAATGAGTTTTAGTAAGAATCATTCGCATTTGGTCAATGTGTGTCGACAAATACTTCATTGCCAAGGTAACTGGTGCTGTAGCAGACACCCTGTGGTGTTATGTAGCAAGTGGCAGGACGGGCTGGGCACCATGTATATGAATGTGTTTGTGAGTAAGAATAAACAGAACAGTAGTTTGTTGAGCTAGACCATGTGAAGGTTAACACAATGTATAGAAAAAAATACTTTGCACATCTTTACCTTTAGAGTTCTTGAATTTTCACTACTTTTTTTAAAATGTTTTTGTGGTCACCTCTGTGAGATAGCAGACTTTACTTTACCCCTTTGTCAGAACGTGCTGAAACTGCAGAACACTTATAGACCGACAGGCAGTCAGACAAACAGAATAACAAACAAGCCAAAACAACACTTCCTCCCTTTGGGAGAAGCTTGCGTGAAAACTGATTGTCAGTCCAATAACTCTTGTAGACAGTTTAGTTGCCCCGACGGCAGGACAGACTGCTATGGGACCGGTGAGGTGAGGTGAGGAGAGTCCACCAGACTGAAATGTTGTCCTCTCCTTGGTGCTGAACTCACCATTGTCTGGAAGTGAGAAAAATCTTTTTAAATTGCAAAAGCAGAAATTTGTATAATGTTTTACCTCCTTTGAATAATACATCGCATAATAGTTCAAGTCCTTCCCACTCCATATGGTATATAAGGCAGTGCCCATTTCTGTTTCTGTGGCCCTTGGGCCACACAGAAGAGCTACAAATACATAAACAAGCACAGATAATCTGTATTGTACTGGTGCGCACTGGTGCACTGGAGACTATGTTTTCTTCTTCCATAGTTGTACTCAGTATTTGACATGCCCCGCTTTATTTTGATTGTAACGTAATGGAATGTAAGAGTTGCTGTTTTCTACAATACTGTAGTACAATACAGTAATAATTTTCAGTCACTGACGAAAGCTAGTGGATACTAGCTGAAACGTCTGACATTTTCAAAATCATATCCAGTTGCTTAAGTAACTGCTTTTTGGAATAATTTTCTATATATCCTATTGTAAACAAGGACTCCAAGCAGATTAGTATACCCACAGCTATAGCGTGGTAACACCCTTCTGTGGCCCCCAGTAAGCCTGCATCTGCACTCCGGTGACCCTTACCGTCCCCCGAGGGTGATATTTCACGCTGCCCCCTGCCTGTTCATGCATGAATGACACCTGACGCGCCGCCCTTCCACCCTGAACATTCATCAGGCCAGGACAAGTCAAGTCATCGGTTCTCAGACATTTACAGAATTAAATTTTGCAGGGCTTGAAATTCATTTTTGGGAATAGGGATAACTTTATTGTGCAACGATTGTACAGTGTACAAAGTATGGCATCTACTAACTTAAGTACATGTCAACTACATTTTCATAAGGCTAATCTAATACAAAAGTGGGTGGCTAGTATGAGATAGGTATCAACTTATACAATCGTTGGAGGAGTTTCTAATATCCATACAGTCTTTAATACATTTGTATATATCCCTATGTATAGCAAATTGTAGGGGTTGTCACAAGTCAATATATATAGGTGCACTGGTGTACAATGTACCTATATGGTGCACCATATAAAACAAAACATAACTTAGAGATCTTACTGCTTCTCTACTGAGCTTGAATCCATAATGGGAGATTTGAAAATCTTAAACAAGTACTACAACAAAGATTTTACTTTTCTGACACTTAGATGCCAATAATATCCTGTATACTATTATAAATTTGACATGAAAAAAATACCTACAAAAATATTTGAGGGGACCAGTGCACCCACAGAAAAAATTGAGTGCACAGTTCCAATTTTGGGTGCACTAAGGTGCACATGCACCCAGTATTTTGTTTTGTAAGAAATCAAGATGAGAACACAGGGCTGGGAGGAAAAAAAACTTAATTCTGGCAATATTCACTCTCCCTGAAATTCTGAAATTATTATTTGACCTTAACCTCAAACCTGTTGGTTTCATAAATACTTACTGATATTAATGTGTATTCCTAAGTACATAATTGATTTTTTATCATTTTTCTCATGATTGGTTCTTTCTATTGGTTTTACTTTATTTTCACTTGGATAGTTCCACTTTATGCTTTTTATATTATGTGTTTTTTTTTGTGAATAAGAAAAATACTTATTGGTGGCTGTCATAGTTAAACACGTTAAAATGCAACGCTTTATGAGACGTGTGCTATGCCAAAATGCTGTGCACAACATATTACCGGTTTTTGTGCAGGCGCAGTACGTTCTGCTGATTTCAAATTCAAATCTTAATTCAGAAAGGGTCTCGCGGGCACAAACACACGAATTTCGTCCTTATTATTATGTAGCATTTTCAGTACATGACACATGAATGATTTGTTACACTCCCCAAAACATGCATATGGCAAGCTCACTATTAAAACATTTGGAAAACCATGCACAATAATCTGTACATACGTATGTGATTACAATGTGGATTCAGCTAGGTAAATGTGTCCTAACGCCCTTCCAAAGAATGTCAAAAAAATTTAGCTGATGTGTCCAGTCGGTATTATTAATGGCAGTGGGTATCGATTCTGTAGCCAAGGATGTGGACTGACTCCTGCAGTTCTAATCAGAATTACCCTGAGGGGCTGATTAAACTGGATATCACAGATACATTTCTAACCTTTGCAGCACATCTGGGACACTCCATTGGAATTTCAGCCAGGAGTTTCCTGGAAAAAAGTGTTAATTATGTTTACCTTCGCAAAAGGAAAATATATTGTTTTTGCTCTGTTTCTTCCTCTTATTTATTTATTTATTTCATCATAAGACGGCAGGGTAGCCCCATTCAGCTTGCATCAGCTGTTTTCCAAGGGGGCCCAGCAAAATTACACAAGACATTGTTACATACAGTAAGACAAGAGTGGACAACAACATACAACAAAAAAGTCAATGACCTGGACGAAATGTCTGTCACCATGGTAACTAGCATTGTAGCAGACAGTCTGTGGTGTTGGGTTACATTATGTAGCAGGACAGAGCTGGAGGGACTGCTCACCAGATATCATATATGAATGTGTTAGTAACAATAAGTAATTTGTTAGGCTAGACCGAATATGAAGGTAAACATGCTGCATTTGCTTTGCAAATGTCTGTGACCTTCCTAGTTAAAATTGCACTTGAATTCTGTGTCAGGAGTTGATTAGAAAGGTTTTAACAGATGGACCTTAGGCCACACCAATTTAATTTCTTGGTTAACGGATTCGCCGCTTCATTTTTTTCTGATTTGCAAATAAAAATAAAAATCCAGAATCAACTGGAAAATGCTCATATTTTGCCCTGAACAGTTAAAAACAGACCTTTTCATCATAGTTGTTACAGTTATTCCATCTTTCAATGCAATGGTATCATTAAAAGTTCAAAATTCATTGTTTAAATTTTGAACCAGCCTGGCGTGTTGACTTCATTGCTCCTATCGTACCATTTTGGGCCATAATACGATGCCTAGGCCTGTTTTTATTTTTATTTTTTTTTCGCCCGCCCGCTCCATTATTTTTCTAGAAAAATCCGTTAACCAAGAAATTAAATTGGTGTGGCCTTAGCGGAAGCAGTTTGCAGGAACATGGAAACGCTTTCTAACATATTACTTCATTCTGGCTGTCCTCACATGTGGGACGCAATCTACAGGATTGTATCAGACAAAAGAAAGGCTCTTATGGGGGTTCTGGCAATTCTGGTCTCACTAATTAAACCATCAGCTATGCAGCAATCAAAATGATGTCATCTCAACTTATTTAGTATACTAAAATATAGTTTTTTCTTGCTACAAGATAAATTTTCTTTATACAAGGAAAAACAAGAAAAAGCATTTTAGGTAGTGTAGCGTTGTTCTATCTATTTGTGGAACAAGTGATACAGAATTATAAGTGCACACAGAGTAGAGTTGGCTGTCTTCAGTTGGTTGTCAGTTTGTCTTCGGTTGGTTGTGAGTCACACCGAGTTAAACCCTGAAACAGCCTCTACCCTCCAGGGACGGACCTTAGCCAGGCTGGTAAACGGATCCCTTCTCTCCGAACTGTGCTTCACACGTTTCCTGGTACATGGAACCTGCCGAGACTGTGGAGTACAAACAGCAGATGCTGCAAACTGGAAGATTTAGAAGCCCTTCTTATTCTGGATTGAGACCCAGCTTCTGTTTCAGTCTAGGAGAGACATCTTCTTTGTAAGCTGAACTACTGTACATTTCCATTAGCTGTTCTGCAAGCCAAACTAGATCGCGATCTAGAAGTGGAATGATCATCTCTTCAGTACGATAAATTGGATCACAATCCAGCATCCGCCTGCTTTCTGATATAAAAGTGGCATCAACTCTTCATCAAGTTGATCCAGCGTCTGTTTCCTGATTTACCAGTTGGAATCATCTTTTCAGTAAGCTGAACTAAATTGCGATCCAGCGTCTGTTTCCAGATCTAGAAGTAGGATCAACTCTTCAGTACGATTTTAAAGTGGGGTCAACTCTTCAGTAAGCTGATCTGGATTGCAAGCCAGCCTCTTATTCCATCTATGAGATCATCTCTTGAGCAAAAAAGATCTAGATCACAATCAAGCGTCCACTTCTTGATTTATAAGTGGGATCATCTCTTAAGTCAAGCTGATCTAGATCACAACCATTTCCTGATTTAGAAGAAGGATCATCTTTTCAGTAAGCTGAACTGGATCGCAAGCCAGCCTCTTATTCTGTCTACTGGCAGTTGTGAGATCATCTCTTAAGTCAAGCTGATCTAGATCGCGATCCAGCATCCATTTCCGTCTAGCGGTGAGATCTGCAGCTAACATGGCAGACAGCGACTGGATCTATCGGATGGCCCCCCACCTCCCGCCCAAGATGAACTATTCCGTGATGCTGGAACAGCGGCAAACGGACGACAGTTTCTACCGAGAGAACAAAGACTCCCAACCTGTACTAGCCTGTGTCCTGCCTACTCTGAACCCATGTCCTGGGGTGGTCTTCGATCTACAGGTGTTCACATTTGTTTCTTTTGAGAGGTGGAACAAAGAATACCTTAATATAGTATCTTCCCCTTCTTTAAACCTCTGCCTTTGATCCCCAGGTACTTTTGAATGCTTAAGATGAATTAAGCAATACAAAACTGTTAAGCTTAACCAAGGGCTTTGCAACTGTGAGCGGAGTTTGGAGCTGGTAGATTGTGACAAAGTGGAAACATCATAACAGTTCGTTCGTTCTCCCCCCCCCCCCTCCAGGTTATTGAGATCAAGAATTTGCGGCCGGATCCCATCAAGATCACGGTGAGCGACCAGCTGCCCCTCAGCACCGAGGAGAAGATCAAGGTACGTGGGATCCAGATTCTGCTGCTTCCTCTTCTCTAAATACCGTAAATTCCAGAATAAAGTACGCATACCAATGGACCTACACCATTATTACGTCACAGTTTGTTTACCTGTTCTAAAGAACATTCTAGAACGGTCAGTTAAAGAATAAAGATCATTTCAAAGTCAGGTATGTCTGATTTTTGCTGCGTCTAGTTGTGTTGACACAGCATTACATGCCGCACGGGTGATTTAGTTGTGACATTAGACGAAAGTAGTACTGTATTAAAAGCCTTATATTAGGCTAACGCTACACAAACACACACCGCGCTACGCACCCCTGTACAATATAAACGTCGATTGACCGGCATTCATTGCAGTAAACAACCAGTGACGTAATAATGGTATAGGTCCATTAAAAACTTGAGTATGCCTTTGCCATGTCTGCTTGTAATAAATGTTGGAACAGAAAAGAACGTGTCAGGCCCACCTGCTCACACAGCAGAAGCACCAGTTGACCCGGAGACGTGGCCCCAGACATGAGAACATTCTGGCGGCTAGAAACCGCATGAACTGTATCAAGTACTTAGTAAATGGACTGATAGATATTAGGTTGATATATTCTAATCTATGCTGATCCTAGATTGTAATTTTTATGTACTTATATTGTTTAGGTTTAAATATGTGTCTTGTTTGTGTGCTTATACAGACCCTTGCGACAGTTCCACAAAATAATTGTGGAACAAATTATGTGTATCATTTGTATTATTTGAATGTTGTAATTGTTGTGATTTGTATTGATTATTATGTGATACCCTGCATCAATTCAGCCGTATAAAGGCTGTGACTGCATGGGTACTGTTTGGACAATAAAAACCATTTATTATGTGTATTATGTGTATGCTGCGCAGGTGAACCTCCAGGAGCCGTCCATCAAGCATCCGGAGAAGAACGACAAGAACAAGCCGATTCGGCTGAACGCACACAACAACGTGGAGTGGACACTCAATATCGAGGGTGGAAAAACTCACGAGGTCTGTAAAAAATTACACAAAATATTTAGGTAAAAGATCAACATTTTCAACAATCAACATTTAGGGTGGCAAAACTCACAAGGTAGTAAAAAAATTACTCAACATATTTAGCTTGTCGACATATCTACTATTTACTACAGATATTTAGCTAAAAGATAAAACATGTTCAACAACACTCAATACATGATAAACATCTTCAACACTCAACATTGAGGGTGGCAAAACTCACGAGGTAGTAAAAAAAAATTACACGACATATTTAGGTAAAAGATAAAACATTTTCAACACTCAACACTGAGTGGACACTCAATATTGAGGGTGGAAAAACTCATGAGGTCAGGCAAAAAAATTACACAAAAGTTTCAGCTTGTCGACATATCTACTATTTGTTTGTTTGTTTGTTTTTATTTGTTTACCCAGGGTGTACATATCGCCACTAAGGCGTTTTTCAATGTGCCCTGCAGGCATACATAAATAAAATATACAAGAAAATAACAGATATAACAAAATGATAAGTCAACTTATAAGTACAAATTAAAGTCAACTTAGTACAAATAAAAGTAAAAGTACTATATAATGCCGCAACTCAGTAAGGTGGTAATAAAACAAACTTGTCAAACCAAGAGCCACAACTCATAGTAATTAAGGCAATAATACAAAAACAAATCAAGGAAATAACAAAGGAATATAACTAAGGAATATAACTAAGAAATTTGCATATCAATGCTGTTTGATAACAAGTTATGATGTGGCAACACACTCCTGGTTGTAAAGGCGCTTAAAGGAAGAAACAGAATCTGCTCTTTTTAATTGAGGTGGGAGTGAGTTCCATAATGTGGCACCAGTACAAGAGAGGGATTTCTTTTTATATTGAAGTTGAGCTTTTGGCAGTTGTAGCCCACCCTGTGATCTAAGGCGTGTATTGTGTGTGTGTACCTCCCTTAGCTGTGTGAACAGACCTGAGATGTGGGGAGGGGACATGTCGTGTAGGGCCTTGTAAACAAGCACTGCTTTATTCCTCTTGTGCATCTCAATCACTGGGGTCCAGCCAAGTCTGTGGAGTATGGTATCACTAGGTGTGTAGTGATCGCACCCCAGGATCACCCTACCCGCCCTGTTCTGTAGTTTCTGTAGTTTATCGATGCCGCCCTTGGTACCTTGATCCCAGACTGTACTGCAGTAGTTTAAGTGGGGGAGAAAAAGGGATGTGTATATTGTCATTAAGGCTTCTCTATTGATAAATGGTTTCAATCCCTTCATGATACCAATAGCCTGAGACAACTTCTTAGTTACATGTAAGATGTGGTCGTTCCACTGTAAGGCTCTGTCTAGGAAGACTCCCAAGTACTTAAAGGTATTTACCTGATCTAGGTTAGTACCTTCTAGTGTCAGATGTAGGTCACGGCTTGCAGACTTGGCCCTATGTGTCCCTACAAGCATGGATTTACATTTCGTGGGATTTAGGGAAAGTTTGTTAGCAGTGAACCACTGCACAAGCCGAGCTGAGTCTTTACTACAGATATTTAGCTAAAAGATAAAACATGTTCAACAACACTCAATACATGATAAACATCTTAACACTCAATATCGAGGGTGGAAAAACTCACGAGGTCTGTAAAAAATTACACAAAATATTTAGGTAAAATCTGTATCTGTATCTGTATAGCCGGTATAACCGCCTTTCGGCGTAACACACCAGCTTCGCAGGCACGCGGCGCGGCGGCAGCTGGCTATATTACACCGATCGACTTGTTCCACCTAACCCTTGAACTTCTAGCTCTAGACATTGTTTAAAGCTATCTATTGACAGTGTCCCTACTGTACTTGGTGACAGTGAGTTCCACTCTGCGATAGTTCTAGGAAAGAATGAATTCTTGAACACCTCAATCCTTGGTTGATAACTCTGGTACTTGAATGCGTGGCTATTTCTTGTTCTCTTCTGGGCTGGTATTAGGTACTTAGTAGTTGGGACATCCACCAGTTTATTAGTCATTTTGTACATCATGCATAGTCGAGACATCTTTCTTCTGTCTTCAAGTGAGGTCCACTGTAGGTTTCTTTTCATTTCCGTGACACTAGCACCTCTTACATAGTTGTTCATACAGAATCTTGCAGCTTGATTCTGTACCCTTTCCAATTTGTCTTTGTCTTTCTTTGTATATGGATCCCATACTGTCGCAGCGTATTCTAGGTTCGGTCTTACAAGTGACGTGTATGCAAGTGATTTTACTCTCGTTGGACATGCCCACAGATTACGTTTAATCACTCCCAATGTCTGTTTCGCCTTAGTTGTGATATTATTAACATGTGCACCCCACTTCAGTCCGCTTGTCAGCGTGACGCCCAGATACGGATGGATTTTTGTGGTTGCTAAAGCCTGACCACAAAACTGGTAGCTAGTTGCATGTGGTGTTCGTTTGTTTGTTATGTGCATAATGTAGCATTTTTCGGGATTAAACTGCATGAGCCATTTGCTTTGCCATTCTTCCAGGGTGTTCAGGTCTTTTTGGAGAAGTTGTGAGTCGGTCTGTGTAGAAAGCTCTACATACAATAGACAGTCATCGGCAAATAACCTCACATTTGAGTCAAGCTGATCTGGTAGGTCATTTATATACAAGAGAAAGAGCAATGGCCCCAGGACGGTTCCTTGAGGGACCCCAGACGCTACTTTAACTGGAGCCGACGCCTTCCCTTCAACCACTACTGTTTGCTCCCTGTTGGTCAGGAAAGCCTTTAACCAATTCAGCGTAGGGCCTTGGATTCCATAATACTCCAGTTTTGAGATGAGCCTGCCATGGGGGACTTTATCAAAGGCTTTAGTGAAATCAAGTATTGCTAAATCTACCTGCCGTTTACTGTTTAGTGCGCCAGCTATGTCATGGACTGTTAGTATAAGCTGTGTTTCTGTGGATCGTTTGGCTCTGAATCCATGCTGGTAATCCGTTAATATACTGTAACTTTCTAGGTGCTTCATGATTTGGCTATGGATGATATGTTCAAGTAGTTTGCAGGATATGCAGGTCAGTGAAACAGGTCTGTAGTTGCTGGGGACCGCTCTATCTCCTTTTTTAAAGATGGCGCATATATTTGCATCCCTCCAATCTTTAGGGATTTCTGCAGTGTTTAGCGAGTGTTGGAAAATATTGGTTAGAACAGGCGCGATTTCACTAGCTGTCAACTTGAGGAACCACGGTGGTATTTGGTCTGGTCCGGATGCTTTAGAGGGATTGAGACCTTGAAGCATTTTTTCGACACCATCAGTAGAAACTACTATATGTTCCATTGGAGGAGTACAGGGCTGACCTAGAGATGGCATATCTGTGGTGTCTTCCTCTGTGAAAACACTTTTGAACTGTGAACTGAGTACTTCTGCTTTTTTCCCGCTGTCACTGATGATGGTATTTCCCACCTTTAGGGGTGCTACCCCGACAAGGTCTTTCCTCAGTCCTTTTATGTACGACCAGAATGTTTTGGGTTTGTCAACTATAGCTTCTCCCAGTATGTCTGCCACGTATTTAGAGTGTGCTTGTCTTATGCTTTTCTGAACTCCCTTCTTAACTCTCTTATATTTGTTCCAGTCTTCCTCTTGGCCTGTTTTCTTAGCTTTGTTATAGAGCCGCTGCTTCTTACGACAGTGCCTCCTTAGGTTTCTGTTGAACCAAGGCAAGTTGTATCTGCTTGATGTTATCTTACTAGGGATGTGCTTATTCATCGTGTCTTTCATTTTGTCTTTGAAGTCTGACCACTTCTGTGTAACTGACATATCCTGAGTTCTTTTGTGAAAGTTAGTTGCATAATCCGTTAGGTCTTTCTTAATGGCTGGTTCGTCGGCTTTTGTGCGGATGTACACTTTTCTCTTAGGTTTCCTGTTTTGTTTCAGTGCCAGGTTAACGTCCACTAGAACCATGTCGTGGTCACTTATCCCCGGGACTACTGTGGTCTTCTCAATTATGTTGGGGTTATTAACTAAGACCAGGTCCAAGAGATTACCATTTCTAGTTGGTTCCTGGACTGTTTGTAAATAACCCGTGGTTATCCATTAGGTTTAGTAGTTTCTCTGCTTGGCCTGTGTAGGCCTGACTGTTGTCAGCTACAGTAGTATCCCATTTGATGCCAGGGGTGTTGAAATCGCCAAGAATGATCACATTGTCAGAGTTTATTTTTGCTCCCATTTTACCTATAGACCTGTCAAGTTCATCCAGACTATTGCCCTGGTCTGATGGGGGTCTGTAGTATGTACCTATTATCAGTGGTTTCCTTCCTGCAAGTTGAGTTTGTGTCCACAGAACCTCGCAGTCTGTGTCAAGGTCTGGCCTATGGGTAACAATTAGATCATCTCTGTTGGCCTGAAATACACCACCTCCTTGGCCAGTTTGTCTGTCTTTCCGGTGTGCTATGTAGTTGCTGGGGAATATTTCACTACTTGCTATGTTTTGGTTGAGCCATGACTCTGTACCTGCTACTATATCTGGCTTATAAGTGTCAACTACTGTCGCCAGTTCAGCTGTTTTGTTCCGCACACTCTGACAGTTTACTAGGAGAAGTTTACTTTTGGATCTCTTGTGTCCCTTGTGACTATGACCCCTCGTTTGAGAATTACCCTGCTTTGATTTAAGTGGAGTGGATGTAGCCATTGGGATTTCGTCTGGTAAACTTGAGTCAGAACTCAGCGTGTCAAATGAGTTTACTGAATGGAATGTTTCATCAGTGATATCGAATATGGCCGATGCAAAGTTGGGTATACCACAGTCACAACATACCCACGAGTATGATCGATGGGTTTCTAGTGCACTGTATACTTGAGAACATAGCCCAATGCAGTCACTGTGGTACCATCTATCGCATTCATCACAGCATATTGCATTATGGGTGTTACGTACTGCCTTGTTACAACTCCCACATGGAAACTTTGGTGGTCTAGGCATCAACATTTTCAACAATCAACATTTAGGGTGGCAAAACTCACAAGGTAGTAAAAAAATTACTCAACATATTTAGCTTGTCGAAATATCTACTATTTACTACAGATATTTAGCTAAAAGATAAAACATGTTCAACAACACTCAATACATGATAAACATCTTCAACACTCAACATTGAGGGTGGCAAAACTCACGAGGTAGTAAAAAAAATTACACGACATATTTAGGTAAAAGATAAAACATGTTCAACACTCAACACTGAGTGGACACTCAACATCGAAGGTGGAAAAACTCACGAGGTCAAACATTTCTCACTTTTTATTTATTGAGATTTTCCATAAATTGACATAACAGGTGATTATCACGTTTTTAAGATATGTCCTCCCCAGACTTAGGTGTTTGTTTATTTCCCTCCCAGGTGACTCTGAAGTACAGCATTGAGCATCCCCCAGGAGAGGAGGTGGAAATCAAGAACGAGAAAATCGTCCTGGCGTAGAACCGGCGCCGCGGCCTGGCGGGTGGGCGGTGGTCGGGACGAGAAGATTGTCGTGGTTTAGAGACTTCCGCGAGCGCACAAGTGGTGGTGTTCAAAACTGTAGGAGTGTTGGGAGGGGGGCACATGATAATGATATGGTAGCTATGGTAACCATGTGGTAGCTATGGTAACCACATGTTAGCTATGGTAACCACATGGTAGCTATGGTAACCACATGGTAGCTATGGTAACCACATGGTAGCTATGGTAACCACATGGTAGCTATGGTAACATGGTAGCTATGGTAACCCCATGGTAGCTATGGTAACCACATGGTAGCTATGGTAACCACATGGTAGCTATGGTAACATGGTAGCTATGGTAACCCCATGGTAGCTATGGTAACCACATGGTAGCTATGGTAACCACATGGTAGCTATGGTAACCACATGGTAGCTATGGTAACTACGTGGTAGCTATGGTAACCACATGTTAGCTATGGTAACCACATGGTAGCTATGGTAACTACGTGGTAGCTATGGTAACCACATGTTAGCTATGGTAACCACATGGTAGCAATGGTAACTACGTGGTAGCTATGGATTAAACATTGTTAACAGTTTTCATCCTTGAATAGTTTAATCAGGTTGGTAAATCACTGGATAACGAAGTTTGTTATTTCCACACGACATTCGGAATTGCATTCTTCACAGTGCAGTAGCGACACCTAGCTGCAGTGTGTGGTACTACATGTCCCGAGGAAGGTCGCTGAAACATCGTCTGGTGGTGATGATGCACATGTAGCGGTGTGTGGTGAAGCCAACTTTGTTATCCAGCTCAATCAGTTTTGTTTTCTCACGAACCCAGTATTTTGGGAGCCTGTGCCACGGCAGCATGACTTTCTGACAGGTGAGGAGCTGTGAATATAATGTTGGTGTGTCCATGGCTGGCGGGAGGAGGATGTTTCCAGTAACAAGTGTGGTTTGTGTTGCAGGTTTGGAGTGTTGTAGAAAGAATAAGAAATCTGAGGTCACTTCTCCATGCAAACTCATCAGAGTTAATACGACCTGTGTTTTTCTCTCTCACCAACTTCTCAAAAGAACGACAGAGTTCAGTTGTGTAAAATAAATCTTGCTAGCGTGTACGTAGCTTATGAACATTTTCTCCATGCGATATCTATATTAGAAAATGAGAAAGTACTTGTCTCTTGTAGTGTGTAGCTAGTTCTAGTAAGAGTAAGTCCATAGTGTGGCAGCTATACACACCACACATATATGTAGTAGGTTTAAGGCCGGGATAGAATAGCCTCCACAGCAAGCCAAAAACTGGGGGTTTTGGGGGTCTTCAGGATCTTTTATTGTATTGTGCTATTTTCTGATTGCATATAGACAACATAGCCGGCCTGGTTGAATTAGCCCCGTTTTTTTAACTGGGCTAATCAGAAAACAGCCGAAGACCACCAAACCCCCAGTTCTATAAGCCTGCTACGGAGGCTAGGGATAGAACCTTCTGTAGACTGTGGTGTTTCTCTTGTCCAACAGACTCCAGGTTTTCCTTGCCTGTACAAAACGTTATTTTGATAGACACCCTATTTGTGCATCAAAGTTTCTATTTTATGGAACATGTTCCTTTGGTGGAACCAGAACTCAAAGGCCAGGAAAACAATAACAAAAAAAAATCAAAATTAAAGAAAAAAAACTTGTAGAGTAGTGCAGTAAACAGTACAGGCAAGTCAACATTGCCTGGAAACTTCTGGTTGAAAACTGTATAAACCAGCACGTCTTGAGTAAACTTTGTCTATTTGAAGGTGGAAAAAAGAGCCAACAATATTCTGTATTAAAGGCTTTTAAATTGTTTATTTTATCCTGCAAAGGATGGAATTTGCCATGTTTAACAATGAAAACAGTTAATAAGTTTTCAGTGCTTCAAATGTGCACCTCCTAGCACCTGACGAAGGTACTGCATGTATGTCTTGACAATTACAATATTTTCAGCAAGTGTTTGATTAAAGCATTGCATATCCTTTCACCTTACAGATGATAATGACCCTTTTACACTGTGTAAGCTACTGCTGTGCCACTAAGTATGAAACTTAAAGCTTACTATTAGTATGGTACAAATTAAGATGTTACTACATATAACTGGATAGTCTTGCGTGTGAAATCATGCTGTGTTTGATCTCTAGGGGTAGGACATGTGTAAATAGAATTGCGATTTTCGCCATTCTGGTTTATTTTGAAGCTGATTTTTATGTTGTTTTTTTATTTCTTGTTGCTGTTTTCTTGGGTTGGATTATGTGCCGTGCTGCGTGCATTCACATTTCTATTCCGTTGAAATGTGCAGCTAACATGTCTTCTGATGAAGACAGAAAAATATTTTATTAATGAGTATTTATTAATTACAGTGGAATAAAGGGTAGTAATGATTTCGAAGATAATTGATTTGATTTTAATGAGGTCGGTAGCTTTGACTGGACGCTAGTTAATTTGTGTAAGAACTCATGGCTTGTTAGCTGTTAGAAAGGTTGGATTGTCTTCATTGCTGATGTTTGTGGGAAACAGTAAATAGTAGTTGTGTATTGTTTATGTCTCCAAGTGTTTGGTTTTCGAGTTGCTGCATTCTTAGTGCTTACATGATGTGGAAATGTGTTTCGGAGCTGGTTCAGCTTTCTTTTTCTTATGTGCACCTTATAAGATTCTTAAATTTTGTGGAAACGACTGTAAAATTATGTTTTGAGCTAGTGGAGCTGTCTACTTGTCCACTGATTCATGCAAAGATACGTTAAAATAATCATGCCAAGAAAAATGCATGTACTTGCATTAGTGTAAACGAAGACTGTATTATCATGGAATTTTGCATTGTACGATATACCACAGTCTAAATGCATTTTAATCTAGTGAAGTGTAGCCATGAAAAAAGTGTTATTTCGAACTGCAGTTGTGTTGTGCAAGTGCCGTAGAATTCCTGCCCAAAAGGAGAAGCAAAATAAAAGCATTGTGGGACTTCAGATGTAACAGTCTGCTTTGTTGCAGATTTTCATTGTTGCATTTCTGTTTTGTAACAAAGTTATGATGTTGCTGCAACAAATGAAATCAGATAAAGCCCACTTACCTGCTTACACCAACTCACACTAACTTATATTTGCTCAGTCGCTATCTCACTCATTCAAACATATTTGCTCTCATTATGCAATCACTTTCTGTAGAAGACTAAGAAAATAAGTAGGTTATGTATGGACTGGGGCTAATATACTTGTACAATCTTATATAGTATGGAATTCATGACTACAACACTACAGTTGCATTAGCACGTTACTGCCATTCTACAATAGAAGTACCTCACAAAATGCATTAATATATTAAATCAGAAGCTCCCAGCATCAAAATAAGCCACCAGTAGTTTTCTTATCGCTATATAGTTCAGGTATCGTCACTTGTATCCAAAACTCGTATTGAACAGTTTGCTCCACAACAACTATATCTGAACACTTCTACAGTTACCTGAACAAAGATGTCTGCCTCACTGATACATTCAAACTGACTAATTCTGGTGTACGTTTGTAACAGACAAAGCCGCTACAATAGAGAGCGTTACTTGTCAGCGTTACAGACATGTAGGATTGATGATTTTGTGGATAACTGGGTGTGATCAGATTTAGTAGAGCAGATGCGATTATCGTGGCCTGATTTTCATAGACACAGACTTCAGGGAGTAATAAGGGCCTCTCATTAGGAACCACATCACACCTTCAGAGGTTGGACAGGAGTTCCCGCAGTTGCGCAGGTAGCGGCCGTTGAGGTAGGAGTAGCCGCAGCCACTCCCAAACCACCACCAGCCGCCCTGTCCGTACCGCTGAGAACAGTGGAGGCTGCTGGCATCATTGTCCCTGTCCTTAGTGGAGAACTTCTGCCCGTTGTTGTACTTCATGCCGTCTCTCGCCACTGGCCCTGAATACCCGGAAACGGTCAGCCGGTACTGGTCTGACTCACCGGCCACCCTGGATGGGAACAGCAAATCACATAATATTAGTTATGAACAACAATCTGCATTGATTCTGATTCTGGTCTGTTTATAGAGCAAACTAGAGTTCAGAGATCTTATACCTCCATGAAGTACTTAGAGCTTGTGAAAATTTTGCTGTGTTATTTTGTCTTAATGATGATAGAAATGTTGTTATTGGCATATTCTTAAGGTCTTCTATCAAATATAATATCTCATGTATAAAGTGTATAAATGCATAAATCATGTATGTGTGAAAGTCATATCCTTTGGCAGGATGCCACTTTAACATAATCACTAATTATGCAAATAACCTGAACATGTACATACCCTAATGCCTAATGATGGTCATCTTTAACTAACTTAGACATGACTTACAGTAGCAGAGTTTTTAGGATTGTCCTTTTTTTCCTGTGTGTTTTACGTATTTCCAAGGGACTTTCTAACAATGATGTTTTCATAGATAAATTTCTAATTGGAAGGAGGAGTACCAACCTAAACGTATCGTATTCAGCGTAGCGTGTCTGATTTTCCCAGTCCATCAGCTCAACCCGCAGTCTATAGTCCTTCTGAGTAGTCAGGAGGTGGATGTTGTCGTTCCCAAGCCAGTATTCCCCGTTCTTGTTCCCAAACCCGTGCTTGTACTCCTCCCAGGTCCGGTTGAAGGGAACTGACCCGTCCATTCTGCGCTGGATGATAGTCCAATTTCCTCCTGTAGAAAAAAACACATCGTTACTTTCTAGACTATGTCGCTATGAAAGTAGTTTTTCCATGATGACAGTACAGAAGGTCTTCGACCGACTCGATGTGATTTTGCCCATTAAATAGCGGTGTGATCAATAACAAGAGGGTCGACTTGTGCATTCCTACGTTATAGACTAAGTATTAGCGTTGCGCCAAAAACAGTTACTCAAGTAACTGGATATGATTTTGGAAACGGTCAGACGTTTCATCTAGTATCCACGGACTTGGGACTTCTAAAAAATTGCCTTCACTTATTTGCATAGCAATCAGAAGTTCGTGCTTATAAACCTGCATTTCTCCTCTGGTCTCTCAGTCACTGACGAAAGGTAGTGGATACTCGTACTAGCTGAAACGTCTGCAGTTTCCAAAATCATATCCAGTTACTTGAGTAACTGCTTTTTGGCGTATCTTATTACCTGGATGTGCAACCTTCATCGACGTATTAGCGTATATATATATATATATACAAAATTTGTTAGAGTGTCGGATACTGTGACAAGTTTGCAAGTTTTGGCCGAGTTACAGTAGGCAGGGGAGTTAGACCGTTTTATTGCTTGGACTCATGTTGTGCACAATATGTATAATATTGTGTGATGCCATTTGAATCAACTTGGATAACTTAAACATTGCCAATTGGTAGCCAAAACAACTTCAGTGTGCGAAGCGTTAAACAGGCGTATATTTACGGCACACCTGTGTATATTACGGATCTCTATGTGCCTGGAAACAATATCTACCTGCAGTATCCATGTCACAGTAGACCGTTACACCGCACAGGGGTGGGCCAAGTGTGTAGACTCCACTGGTCGTGTGTCCGGTGGCTTTATATGCTGCACAGT